CTGGATGAAATAGACTAAACTTCTAAATGAATTTGAATTCCTTAAAGTTTTAGATTTCTGTTAACTTTACTGTAGATTATTACATTATTATTATTATAAACCAGTAAGAACACATTTTTATTTTCTTTTTAAAGATCACATTTTCACATGGAGTTTTCTTTTTGAAAACATCGTTTAAAGCATAATTACACTTTTCCAGTACCTGATGCTGCACTTACTTATGGCATATTAGACAATTTCTGTATTTTATTTACCTGATTCCGATTGCAGCACAGTACTAGGCTGAGTGTCAGTGCTTTTTCTCAGTTGATCTAATTGGACATCAAATTAGGGATGTAAAATAAAATTTTATTTATTTATATTTTAAGAAAATATACAATTCTAGGAGAGTTGAAAAGTAAGAAATGGTTCAAATCGATTCTTGATTCTGTCCAACCTTACCTGCATAATACCCAGATCTCAATCCAACAGAACACTTTTGGGATATGAAACAAATGACAAATAGATGCCAATATAGACCAAAATCAGATTTAGGGTCAGAAAAGTGAATTGTTGCCACAATGAAAAGATTTTTTTTTAATTCTGAGTAGTCAAAATTCTTGAGATGTGAAAGGTCTGTAGAAATTAAAAACAGAGTATAGACACATGGAACATGTTTGCACAGCAACACAACTGTAAGATTTCACAGAAAGCAGTCAACATCTACAAACGAGATGGTGGGTGGACTGTGGTTGTTGCAGGTGTCTACTAAGCATTTTTTTTTTTTAACAAGGAAGTGTTTTAAAAGCTGCATTAATCTCATGTTTAATATAATGCATGACACTGCAGCAGGCGCAGGCCTAAACTCCACCTGAGGATGCACCCTACAGTCCAACATTTCTATTAGGCATCATGGACAGGAAGACAGCTGCAGTTCGATGCGGGGTGTATTGATGTAGTTGTCCATAAGTAATGTAATGAAGGCCATGACTCCATTAGTACTCCCTTCCTGCACAACCCCATCCTACCACTCCCAGTGGAAAAAGACGGATAGACAGATAGGCTGGCAGATACAGAAAGCCAGAGATGTTTACAGAGAGAGAAGCAGAAAAAAAGAGGGAGATGAAAATGTCAAAGGTTACTGCGTAAGCCGACCCGCTAGAGCCTGGACCTCTATGTACGGTAGATATGGTGCAGGGAAACTGGAGATGGGTAGGAATGATGGCTGGGATGACAAGGAGAAATCTGGGATAAAGTGTCACGTGTTTAGGCAGTGAGAGAAAATCGGTAGCTCCAGTGAAGAAAAGATGAATGGTATGACGGCCAGAAATAGTAGAGGGAATGTAGTGCAAGATGAACTGCAACCATGGGGGTAGTTAGTTCTCAATGAGCATGTTGACACGTTCACACATTCAAAGGAAGTGATGAATCATCACACATTTGCTTAGAAAGAGGACAACATATTGCATTTCTGCATCAGAATAATTTGTAGAAAACCTAGTACAATAGGACCATTCTGATCTGACACACTCGAATAGGAAGAAGCTATTTTTCTTCAAGAATACCACACTGGAGACAGGCAGTATTTTTAGACCTGCAAGTAAGATCCTTGCATCACGTGTTCTTTTGTCATTTTCCCTTTTTCTCTCTCACCTATGTTAGAAGTGTTACTCCTGTCAACATTATGCTTTAATGAAATCTCTATTTTAGTATCATTGCTATTTGAAGTTGGAAAGCCTTTTAATGGTGAGCACTGCAGAAACACATAATCATGTCTTCCCTAAATCATTTAAAAACTAAAATGCTGGAGCTAAACAGTATTTAAATGTTTTATTTCAAAAGTAAGACAATGTAGGAACAATGTCTTAGCTTATCAAGTTTTTAAAAGTCCATTTATAGATCTTAGTGAGCAATTCTTGATAGAAAATTTGAAAAATGTCTCTACCAAGGTCAGGAACTCAATTTCAATGAGGTTAGTGGCCTTATTCGCCGACAATAAGCACATTCAGTGAGGTAAAATTTGTTTTTTCTTTGCAATTTGAGAATCCTAGTGATAAAAGCCAATGGCTAAGATGCGGATCTCTGTTGGCTGAAAGTGAATAAACTATTTACAATGACGCAAAGCAAGGATGGTTGAGGAACCTCCTCTCATCTGCAGCTTGCACAGAAACAGGAGTTTTTTTAGGAGGAAAAAACTTAAAGAATATAAAAGAGTCATAATCTGGTCATTTACATATTCAATCCTTCTGAAATTGTCTTTAGATTCATATTTAATGATTTTTAGGAGAACAAAAATTAAATTGAGCTAATTGGGACCCCTTTTCATATCCTTTTGTTTTCTCAAAAGGCTATGCATGAGAACTAGACTTCTTTGAATAAGTTTTCGTGTGAATCTAGCGTTAGCGACATCATAAGTTTTTCATGGTTTGTTCACGATAGAGACTGGATGTTACCACTTTATGTTAACATATGAAAATAAAACCTCAGGATATAGGACTTTATATGCTAAGTAAGTCTAGGGATTATGAAATAAATTAAAAGAAGATCCCCAGTTGCCGCCTAGGTGGGCAGAGATGATTGTGCTTTTTTACTGACACTACAATCCATCAAAGTATCTGATCTTAGGAGCCCCACCCAGTAATAAGACTCAAAAGTGTGTGTGTGTGTGTGTGTGGGGGGGTTAGTACTAAAGTCCATTACTGAAATCATATTAGTTTTCCAGCGTGCACCCAGGGAGAAAACAAACCTATATCATCTCTTGATTCACAAACATCGGTCAAACAAACAGATTACACAACCAAGAATGGCTGGATACTGGGCATGCTTCATTAACAGTCTCTCTGTAACCTAACCCCTGGGAAAATTACACGTTTTACTGTATTTGCACAAAACCTTCAGACAGTGCCAGTTTAAATAGATGATTGTGAAAATGGTGACTCTGCCAATCACATGGCAGCAGCTAAAAATGATCTGGATGAAGCAAAGACAACTCAGATATCCATCGACGGATAACGGATGTTTTAGCTGGATATCTACGTCATAGTTTAAATCATCTTAAACTGGCTCCCTAAATATGACAATAAGTTCGCTGTGGTCTAATGGCATCAACATTCCCAGATCTCAGGCCTATAGAGTACATCTGGGACACAGGGAACAGAAGATTAGCGTCTTGGATGTGCCGCTGACAAATCGGCAACAACAGTGGGATACCATCATGTTGATAATAACTAAAGTGGAATGTTTCCAAAAACGTGTTGAATCTATGGGACCCAACAATATACGAGAAAGGTATACCTAAAGAATGGCCAATGAGTATGTGATATGAAAGGTTTTTGTTTTTCAGATTACAACAGTTATTTTAATTATTGATATATTTCATTTTATCATTTTAGATAGGATTAATACACCCCAATCATCCACACCATGAGAAACAAAACAGGTTTTAAGGCTGCTGAATTTTTCTTCCTTATGAATACTGTAAAGTACTAGTTGCTCTCTTTAAGCAAGTCTTCCCAGAAGTGCACAGCAACAGGTAGGGGTAGGGAACTGATGCTCCATCATATGTATAAACACTGGGAAAAATTTGATGCACTCCAACACTTTTTATGGTATTCCATTAAAAGCACTAATTAACAAAATATTATGACTGAAAATGAAATAGTTTTTGAAACAGAGACTGTTAAAAGACCTCAGCGTTTCTTAATACCAGCAACTGACCGACGCCTCCATTTAAGATACTATTGGCTTAAATCTGACTTTTACATAAGTCAGCAAATACATCTGTTTTTTTTTTTTTTTTACTTTTGAAAGGGGCTTTGATAAAAACATTCAGCAACAACAAAGCAGGGCTTGGCTCAGTAGCAGCAACATAGAGACAAACGCACTGGTAGATTTCATGTGGGTGACATGGCTCAACCACATCACCAACATCAGTCTTTACCACACTTGGTTGAGGACTTTTTTAGGACAGTTTCAGTTATCATTATTTTTTGTTGCTGTTGTTGATCCAATGTTATCTGTCAGCCACTTCCGAGTCAAACAAGTATTCTGTCATGTATGTGCATGTTCTGTTAGTGGGGAGCTGGGTCGCCCACCAGAGTTCAGTACAATGTAAGCATTGTAAGAAAATATGACTGTAAACAAAAGCTGGCAAAATTTGTAAACTAATCTGCAGTTTCTTTTCTGAAACAGTAAAGCACCAAAGCAACAGCTTTAAAAGAAATAAATCAGACAAGATCAGATCATCTACAGCTAAAAAAAAACACAAATACCTAAACAAGACAAACATGATCTTTAATGGTGTATATTGTACAACTATTTCTTTGAAATATATTTTTATTGTTTTAAATTTAAGGACTTTTTTTTAACACAGAGCAGAATTTATAATCTCTTTTTGTTTCTTTTGGTCTTATTGGCATTAGGAGCACCTTGGAGTTGTTATTGAGACTCAGACCTTGTTTGTCCTGCCATGAAAGAACCACCTTTGAACAGATGATGTGCCATGCAGAAACAGTCTGTGGATCCTTCTATAGCAGCATGATGTAAATAAAAACTGCATCAAATGAATTCACTCATCTAAACTGAAATAAATTGGAATACGTTTGCAGACATACATTAGGACTGCCCGAATAAGAGAAGAGTGTGAGATGACTTTACAGACACTAAAGTCCTAGTTTTACATTTTAATCCTGTTTATCACTGAGATCTCCCAGAAGGATGAATGAGAAAGAGAAATCTGTGCAGATTTGACTATAATAAATAAAACTAATAACTAATTGAGTTTGTTTTAGGTCCCACCAAAGCTGCTCAAATAAACCATATATGCAAAGAAAAGAGATATTCTGCAAAGATTGTCTTTTTGTTGCAGGGAGCAGCAAGGGGAGCAAGTGAGAGGATGATCTAAGGTGTTTTCATACGGCAACGCCTTAGGAGAGCCAGCCTGAGCGCAGAGCATCATCGGAGATGTTGACTCTGCTCACAGGGCCGTCAGCGCACAGAGCAGGTAATGGACAGAAACCCACCTGCCGTATGCGGCTCTGGTGCGGCGGCGGATGTTGAAGTCCTCCGTCTAGGGAGGTGTTGCTCGAGGAGGCCCGTTTGGAGTCGCGGTCAGAGCCGGAGCAGTAGCCACCGCCCCCGGAGCGACTTCCTTCGGGGCTGTTCGACATTCCGTCTTGGGCTGACTGCCAATAAAAAATATCAGTGCGGTCAGCGGAGGGTCTATGTGCCGGTGCAAGGGCCTCAGCATGAAAGGAGCACAGCGGGGCCCCGCACCATTCTGCGTCGTTAGGGAGAGTCTGAGATGTTAAGGAAAAACCAAGTCAAGCGATTGCTGAAGACCGTCAGAGCAAAGGAAGCGCTCTCTGCACAGGGATGCTCCCAGTGTGCAGCTGGAGCCTGCGCATGTATGTGTATGGCCGCGTGAACGCGCTTCCGGCTGATGCGCATTCCCGAAACTCCGCAGGATCCGTGCTGCCTTCCATGACCGTCGGATATCTCTAAACTTCTTGATTAATGGAACCTAGAATTTTCTAAGAGTTAACTATTTGCTATTATTTGGCCTGTTTGTTTGAAACTACGTACTTTACACACAACAGCTTTTAGTTCAGAGGAAAATATTTGGTTACTAAAAAAATACATCGTCGCACGTTTATCACCAATCAATGGCATAAAAAAATACAGCGTCGCACGTTTATCACCAATCAATGGCATAAAA